AAAACATGCATCACTTTGAGCCTGAGGCCCTGAGAATCAGCCAATGCACCAGCATGCCTAGTGTGCGATGTTATGCAATACTGTGCGCTAAACGCATAGATCCTGTACGTCTAAAACAAAACAACTTTTTATAGCTTTTCTTTAGGGCTAAGCCTCAGTGTATTCTGGCTGGACACCAACAAAAAACGTGGAGTTCCGTGTAGGGATTCTAAACCAGACCCTTAATGTGGGAACTGGCCTGGAAGGGCAGGAAAGGGGGGTACACAAGCGAGTGTCACCCACCCTGAACCATACCAGGCCACATGCCCTCGATATGGCGAGGGTGCTTTGCCAGGGGGAGGGGGGGACCCCTTAAAAAGCACTTTGTCCCCATGGCTATGAGGACAAGGACCTATTCCCCACAACCCTGGCCCGGTGGTTGTGTGGGTCTGCGGGAAGGGGGGCTTATTTGCATCTGGGTACTCCCGTTTATATGCCCCCCCTTGTGGTGAATGAGTAAGGGGTAGTTGTTACCCCTAGTCATTCACTAAAGGGTTAAATAAAAAGTAAATAAACACACAAGACTTTTGCAAAAATCCTTTAATTGAACAAAAGACACAAAAACTGTTTTGAGTCTGTTTAAACAGCCCCGATGCTGGCGACGTACACTGTACGTCGTCAGTCACGAAGGGGTTAATGTTTAAAAAACAAGAAAAGACCCAACTATGTAATCCAACATCGATCAAGTCGTCCAGCGATGTAGATCTATGTTAATCACGATGAACGACGACCCCAAACAAGCCAAAATTTTAAAAAAGGGCAGACGACCCGTCCGAACTCGACCCATAAAATGACAGCTCCGGCGCGGATCTAAACAAATGGGCGGAGCGAGTGGTGACGTCACGGGGCTTGTTCCGCCCCTTTGTTAACATTCTGGACCCGATGTCATATAACAACAACAAAGTCTTTCCGAATGGCAGTCGGATCTGCGAGCCACAGCCGACTGAGTTGTAGCGTGACACTTCAGCTCCCAGTTCTGACTGGGGAACAAAATGGTGGTGCATAACCTCGTGTTAGAAATGTAAAATGCACATAAAGAAGTTCCTTGCAAGGGAAGTACGTTGACAGGTGCCCTTTATTAGTTAGGTGGCCTCTGTATAACCGTGAATGCAGACTCCATGGATGTATCCGTCCGTAGATATCAAACAGCCGATCCGACATAAGTGTGATCGATATGATTCGGAATTAGAACGCGCTCACCCGATATTAAAGGGTGCCGCCATTGCTGATCAGGACTGCTGTATAGAAAACAACCCTGGCAGGTAGTGGAAGCTGGTTTCTCCTGGTAATCGTAGGCAGGAAGGCGTCCCGCTGGGTCAACGCTGGGGCCTCTGTGGAGGTAAAGTAGCATTTGAACTGATGCGTTTCACCTGTACCAAGCTTCCTCAGACAGCGGCATAGAGCAACATTCCCAAGGAAAGTCACCATCTTAAATCCATGCTGCAAACAATGAATGCTGTTTAGAAAGCAAATGAGGGTCTTACACAGTTCTAGATGGGTGTACCTTTAGCAGTGGTGGCTGCATTAGTTTTCTTTTTTCAGGCTCTTTTTCCTTTATTTTTACCTGGGTATTCTGCCAGTAACACATCTCCTGTCATAGGGTGACAACGCTCACTCACCCTACTGTATCAGGACAACAGAAACAAGACAGGACTTCAAGACACCGTCCCTTTCCTCTTCTTCATGACATAAGTGTGTGTTGTTCTGTGGTCTTCGGAGATAGCTGAGAACAATGATAACTGTAGAAGCAGAGAGAACAGGAATTTATCAGCTCACGAGATTTCTGGCAGGATCAGCAGGTCATTTTTGCACTTACCATACAGATACAATAAAACACTATCAATGGTATATATAAGAGACCAAATAGGAGCAGTTCATTGTTAGGGTTGTCGTACGCTTTAAAAGGCTTATGTACATAAATAAGAAATCTATATGTATATGTAGCTTAGAGGTAAGCAAGGGATAGAGAATGGGCGATGAAGAGAAAAAGAAATGGCGGTGGAGCTTTTACAATGCTTGGATACCTTATTGAAGTTTTTCCAGTGTTTAACATGCTTTGCATTGCCCTAATAGGGCTGGTTTAGGGTTTAGGCCATTTATAAAAGCAGCTCATTGAAATTCTGATAAAGAACAAGGAATCTGCAGAACATTTGCTGTGTACAGCTGAAAAAATGAAAGTAAAACAAATGTGAAATAGAGAAAGATGTGATAGCAATGTTTATGAAAGTGTGTAATTCTGATATTGTCCACTAGAGGTCAGCCAAGTGTGCGTGAAAGAACTGCCAAGTAGACATGTGCACTGCCAAAAAATTCGTTTCGTTTCGTTTTAAATTCGGATTTGTGTTATTTCGTTTTTCGGGATTCGGGTGTGAAAGTCAATTCGGATTCGGAATTCGGATTCGGACGAAATTCGGTAGCGTTCGCACGAACGTTCGTTTCGTTTTCTGTTCTTATTCGTTTCGTTCGTTTGCAGCAAAAGTGACATTTGAGGGGGAAAAAATATTTTTCTCCTTCTCTAATGTCACTTTGCTCCAACGAACGAAACGAATAAGAAACAAATAAGAACAGAAAACGAAACGAACGTTTGTGCGAACGCTACCGAATTTTGGAAATGGAAATTCGGATTCGTTTGCATTCGTTATGTCTGTAATTCGGATACATCCGAATGTCCGAATTTACGAAAATTCGTCCGAATTTCGATTCGGAACGAAACGAATCGCACATGTCTACTGCCAAGTACATGATATCAGGATATTGCAGCTTACCCCTCCATAGATGTGGTGCTTTGCTTTCTTCCCTTTATTTTCACCTAGCTGATCCTGCCACTAACACACTTTCTGTCCTAGGGTGACAATGGGAGGAGGTGCACTGATGTCCACACAGAAAACTGGGAACAATGTGACTGATAACAGAGAGCACAGGTAGGTATCGGCTCACAAGATTTCCGGCAGGATCAAAAGGGATTGTACTATACGTATTAGACAGACAAAGCAAAACATTTCCAATGGTAAATTGAACAAACCATAAGGGAAGAAAAGATAAGTCCATTATTAGGGTTTGCATGTACTTTACAGCTGCAGTAGTGAGTGAATTTGAGTGAACATAGCCAGAAGTCATGGTACCAACTCATGGTACCAACTCTTACCAACCAGTCACTGGTAAATCAGACGGCCTGGCAGCCTAATGTCTGCCCTCTAGGATAGTGGTCCCCAAACATCAATCCACAGGCCAAATGAGGCCCTTTGTTTGCCTTTGTCTAGTCCTTGGGGCACTATTCCTCCCAGTGACACCAATGATGGGGCATTATTCCTCCCAGTGACACCAATGATGGGGCACTATTCCTCCCACTGACACCAATGACGGGACACTATTCCTCCCAGTGACACCAATGATGGGACACTATCCCTCCCAGTGACACCAATGATGGGGCATTATTCCTCCCAGTGACACCAATGATGGTGCACTATTCCTCCCAGTGACACCAATGACGGGGGCATTATTCCTCCATGTGACACCAATGACGGGGCAGTATGCCTCCCAGTGACACCAATGATGGGGCATTATTCCTCCATGTGACAACAATGATGGGGCACTATTCCTCCCAGTGACACCAATGATGGGGCAGTATTCCTCCCCCTGACACCAATGATGGGGCATTATTCCTCCCAGTGACACCAATGATGGGGCAGTATCCCTCCCAGTGACACCAATGATGGGGCAGTATTCCTCCCCCTGACACCAATGATGGGGCATTATTCCTCCCAGTGACACCAATGATGGGGCACTATTCCTCCCAGTGACACCAATGACGGGACACTATTCCTCCCAGTGACACCAATGACGGGACACTATCCCTCCCAGTGACACCAATGATGGGGCATTATTCCTCCCAGTGACACCAATGATGGGGCACTATTTCTCCCAGTGACACCAATGATGGGACACTATTCCTCCCAGTGACACCAATGATGGGGCACTATTCCTCCCAGTGACACCAATGATGGAGCACTAGGCTGCAAGGACTGGTCTATCAGTGCAGGCGGGACAGAGGATTGGGTGAGGGGTTTTTTCTTATTCGCTCCCCTAGAGAAAGACGAGCAGTTAACCCTTGCAATGCTGGGGTAGCCCCACTGCAAGGGTTAACGTTTAAATATCCTGGAGTTCCTCCTTAAGGGCTTGTTCCCACCACATGCATCACACAGTTCCGTGCAATAAACGCTCGCTACCACACAGCGCACCTACTGTGTGTTGACAGGGCCGTCTTTAACGCGGGGCAAAAGGGGCAGTTGCCCCGGTCATTGCTGTGGGGCCCAAAGCAGCTGCCCCTTCAGCCCGATACACACACGGCACCGTTCTGTTCACCATGTGATCGGCATCGCAAAGTGTTGCTCCATCCCTGCCTCACGCTGCGTCCCGTGACCTCCCCCGCGGGGTCACGTCTCTCTCTGACGTCTCCTCCTATCTGCCTTGTAGGAGGAGGACACTGTGCTCTGGGGGGCGGGAGCCTGGCAATTAGGGGCCCCAATAAAATGCTTACCATGGGTCCAATCAATATTAAAGACAGCCCTGTGTTACGTTGCCATTCATTTATATGCCACCCCAAAAGCACCTCCCACCTGCAATGCTCTTGATTGCGTCCCACTACGCGGTTCCACAATACCATGTGTTGCGGTTGAAAAAAATGGTGCATGCACCTTCCTTGTCTCTCCAGGCGGAGACATGGAACAGAGACATACAACATGATGAGCCTGAGTCTATGTAACACTGTCGGGGCATGGATAGACGGGCTAGCGGAGGGCGGGGCTAGCCACTTAGCCAGGAATGTGAACCCGCCCACCTCATTATCTATCCCCCACTAGTAGCTAGACCAGTCCGACGAGGGCGTGGCGAGAAGAACCAAGGAACCTATTCCCGAGCATGCGCAGTACAGCCAAGAGTAGTCTCCGTCTGCGCTTCTGCATCCAGCCATGGTCAACTTCAGGTTCCTGTCTACAAGTAAGAGGGGGACCCCTGAGAGGGGAAGGAGGGGGGATCGTGCTGACTGGGGACACGGAGGACACCCCCTGCCCTGTGTGTGATCTGTATGCTGTGTATTGTAGTGTATGGCTGTCACAGGTGGAGATCGTGTACATGATGAGTGCCCTCTACTACGCTCAATTCATAAAAACTGGGAGCAGTTGCCCATAGCTACCTATCATCAGCTTCGAACATGAAACGGAGAAACTGATGGGTTGCCATGGGCAACTGCTCCAGATTCTGTCTTGCTGCAGTTATTCTGGATTTCCCCCAGTATGTGTCAGATGTCCACTCACATGTATCCTCATTTCCTGAGATTACATGTATGCAATGTACATGTGTGACATGTATGTGTGTCTGTGTCTCTGATATCCAAATCTGCACAGATTACAGAAGGTGACACGGGTGACGCTCTCCTTCTTCTTCATATTTGTTTTATGACATATCCTGGTTGATGGATGCGGCTGGAGCGGGGTTGGGCAATCCCAGGAGCCGGGTCGCCAATGCTTCCGTAACATTTACAGCCGGCGGCAGCCGAACATTTGAGGTTTCCAATGGAGCTGACTCCTGATAAAACAGAAAACTTGCTGGCTCCTGGAGTGGACAGAGTGGCCCCTAAATTCCATATTCATCTGACCACCCCTTTACTTCCTGCTCTTAGCTATGTGAGTGATTGTATTCTGTACAACAGGGGTGGGCAACACCGACCCTCCAGCTGTCGTGGAACTACAAGTCCCAGGAGGCATTGCAAGACTCTGACAGCAACAGGCATGACTCCCACGGGCAGAAGCATGATGGCAGTTGTAGTTAAAACCTAGCTGGAGGGCTGGAGTTGCCCGCCCGGCCGTACTTTATACCTCTTTTTCATGAGACTTTGTACTGTAGAGCAGCACTTGTCAACCAGTGGCTCAGAGGTCACATATGACTCGGGGGGTCACATATGGCTCGGAGGTCACATTGACTCAGCGGGAGGGTCACATATGACTTGGGAGGGGGTCACCTTTGACTCGAGGGGGTCACCTATGGCTCGGAGGTCACATTGACTCAGCGGGAGGGTCACATATGACTTGGGAGGGGGTCACCTTTGACTCGAGGGGGTCACCTATGGCTCGGAGGTCACATTGACTCAGCGGGAGGGTCACATATGACTTGGGAGGGGGTCACCTTTGACTCGAGGGGGTCACCTATGGCTCGGAGGTCACATTGACTCAGCGGGAGGGTCACATATGACTTGGGAGGGGGTCACCTTTGACTCGAGGGGGTCACCTATGGCTCGGAGGGCACATATGCCTCAGGAGGTCACATGGGGCTCTTACCTTCCTGTGTTGGGGGGCCCTCCTGCCTCTGAGACTGTGTGAAGGGGTTTAGTGGCCATCTATATGAATACCTCTTCTACATCACACGGAGGGTTGCTTCATGTTTATTAAATCTTCCTTAGAAGAGAAGAACTCTAGCAGGAAATGTTTCTATTATCCCTTGCAGTGGGGCTACCCCCGGCACTGGAAGGGTTAACCACTTGTTTGTGTCTATTTAAAAAAATAAGTTATACCCACCTACACTGCAAGGGTTAGCTGCTCGTTTTTGTCAAGGGTAAAAAAAAATAAAAAAATTATACTCACCTAATCAGCTCTTAAAGCGTCTCTCCCCTTCTTCTGCAGAAGTCTAGGAGTCCTTGAGTCATCACGTACAATACAGTGTATTGGTTGCAAGGACGTGGAGAGACATGTTATTGCTGCAGCTGGGGAGGGGGAGACAGGCTGGAGGGAGCGCAGGCCGGCTCGGAGGATTGGGTGAGTATATCTATGTTATTTTAGTCCCTAGACACAAACAAGCAGTTAACCCTTGCAGTGCGGGGGTAGCCCCACTGCAAGGGTTAATATAAATGTTGTCCCGGAGTTCTTCTTTAATGATCTCAGCCTAGAATGTATTCGGGAATAGATGTGTGCGCTGGGGATCAGTATACACCTGTGTACAGTATATTACAATCAACACTCTATATGTCATTCTCAAGCTCCGCCTTTCTGAGCCAGGTGCTGTGGCATCCTGGGGTGGCTTCTGGCTTCCTCAGGGGTGCCTTAGCATCATGCTTTTAAAGGAGGTACTCCTAATATGAAAGTAGGGCGCTCCTGATGTGAAGGGGGGCCCCTGAGGTAAAGGGGGCTCTTGATTTGAAGGGGGGACTCTGATGCGTGAGTTCTGGGATAAGGGTCTGGTATGGATTTTAGAAGGGCCACACGTCGTGTGTTACATTTTAGACTGGGGTGCCTGGGGATTTTGCATATTTTTGAAGGGTGCCGTGTCTGATTATAGGGGGGAACGTTGCTCGGGTTCACACTTTGTGTTTTGGGTATGAGGCCGGCCAGTATGGTTTCCTGAACTTTGTACATTTCTAATGAATATCCTCTTCCTGTGTACAGTGTCAGGCTCCTTGTATACTACATGTGTCTCTATACTGCACCTCTTTAGTATTGCTATAAGGATGTAAAAGCTGTATTCTGATTGGCTGAAAGCTGACATTGCCCTTTGTACAAGGCTGTATGTTGTATGCAAACACCAACTTCCACTGGGTTGGGGTCATTCCCACACGTGTCATATCAGGAGAGAACCATGGAGGCCGCCATTGCCAACCTTCCCTTTTGAAAATACCAGTTGCCTGGCTGTTATGTGGATCCTATGGCTTCCATACTTTGAGTCTCTGATCAGATACATGTATATTAGAACTTGTGACGTCTCTCCAACTTTCCTGATCTGCATTCTAGCTTCTTGTTAGTGACTCGGTGTTGAAGCCAATGGGTCGGTGACTCGGTGTTGAAGCCAGTGGGTCGGTGACTCGGTATTGAAGCCAATGGGTCGGTGACTCGGTATTGAAGCCAAGGGGTCAGTGACTCTGTGTTGAAGCTCGCTATGATACACAATGGGTCAGGGGCTTGCTATGGAACACAATGGGTCGGTGGCTCGCTATGGAACACAATGGGTCGGAGGCACGCTATGGAACACAATGGGTCGGAGGCACGCTATGGAACACAATGGGTCGGAGGCACGCTATGGAACACAATGGGTCGGAGGCACGCTATGGAACACAATGGGTCGGAGGCACGCTATGGAACACAATGGGTCGGAGGCACGCTATGGAACACAATGGGTCGGAGGCACGCTATGGAACACAATGGGTCGGAGGCACGCTATGGAACACAATGGGTCGGAGGCACGCTATGGAACACAATGGGTCGGAGGCACGCTATGGAACACAATGGGTCGGAGGCACGCTATGGAACACAATGGGTCGGAGGCACGCTATGGAACACAATGGGTCGGAGGCACGCTATGGAACACAATGGGTCGGAGGCACGCTATGGAACACAATGGGTCGGAGGCACGCTATGGAACACAATGGGTCGGAGGCACGCTATGGAACACAATGGGTCGGAGGCACGCTATGGAACACAATGGGTCGGAGGCACGCTATGGAACACAATGGGTCGGAGGCACGCTATGGAACACAATGGGTCGGAGGCACGCTATGGAACACAATGGGTCGGAGGCACGCTATGGAACACAATGGGTCGGAGGCACGCTATGGAACACAATGGGTCGGAGGCACGCTATGGAACACAATGGGTCGGAGGCACGCTATGGAACACAATGGGTCGGAGGCACGCTATGGAACACAATGGGTCGGAGGCACGCTATGGAACACAATGGGTCGGAGGCACGCTATGGAACACAATGGGTCGGAGGCACGCTATGGAACACAATGGGTCGGAGGCACGCTATGGAACACAATGGGTCGGAGGCACGCTATGGAACACAATGGGTCGGAGGCACGCTATGGAACACAATGGGTCGGAGGCACGCTATGGAACACAATGGGTCGGAGGCACGCTATGGAACACAATGGGTCGGAGGCACGCTATGGAACACAATGGGTCGGAGGCACGCTATGGAACACAATGGGTCGGAGGCACGCTATGGAACACAATGGGTCGGAGGCACGCTATGGAACACAATGGGTCGGAGGCACGCTATGGAACACAATGGGTCGGAGGCACGCTATGGAACACAATGGGTCGGAGGCACGCTATGGAACACAATGGGTCGGAGGCACGCTATGGAACACAATGGGTCGGAGGCACGCTATGGAACACAATGGGTCGGAGGCACGCTATGGAACACAATGGGTCGGAGGCACGCTATGGAACACAATGGGTCGGAGGCACGCTATGGAACACAATGGGTCGGAGGCACGCTATGGAACACAATGGGTCGGAGGCACGCTATGGAACACAATGGGTCGGAGGCACGCTATGGAACACAATGGGTCGGAGGCACGCTATGGAACACAATGGGTCGGAGGCACGCTATGGAACACAATGGGTCGGAGGCACGCTATGGAACACAATGGGTCGGAGGCACGCTATGGAACACAATGGGTCGGAGGCACGCTATGGAACACAATGGGTCGGAGGCACGCTATGGAACACAATGGGTCGGAGGCACGCTATGGAACACAATGGGTCGGAGGCACGCTATGGAACACAATGGGTCGGTGGCACGCTATGGAACACAATGGGTCGGTTGCTCGGAATTGGAGACAGAGGGTCAGCATGACAGCCCCCATGTTGCTCCATGACGGGATCCCTTTAAAGCAGACCTAAACCCAAACTAAATGACATTTAATTTTCTAAAGCATTGTGTATCATAAGCATTTGTCATGTTTTAGGTAATTACCTATTTCCACCCAGTGCTACTGATCTCCTGGATCCTCTTTGGAGGCACTTCCTGTCTTCACTCACTCCAGCGATGGCTCCACCTTTTATCAGTGCGGTTTCGTAATGGTGACTACAGTGGACCAGGCCTGTGTAATGTGTGCCGAAATGGCCACTTGTCTTCTCCATCTGAGGCCCATGTGACAACCCAAGGGCACAACTGGTTGACAGGAACAGATTGTTGTCACCTTGTAACAGGAAGTGCCTAAACAA